CGCTAAGTATGAAACAGAGTATAAGACACCCTATTGTCTGGTACAGAGACCATTTATGAACGCTTGGGTTTTTAAACAATGTACTACACATTTTACAAAAAGAAAAAAAAAACATTGGGTGTTTAAACGTTGTACTACCCCTTTTTCAATAGAAAAAAGCAACAATAAAAAAAAAACACATTTCAGAAGAAAAAGTTAAGGAAACGGAATGTACCATTATGTTCAGTGAAGTTTGGTGACAAGACTCGGGACTTGAGCAGGAATGCAGTTATCCTTGGTGTGACCCCATGAGACTGTCTTGCTGCCTTTGCTGGGGTTTATCTAACTGAAGTACCTGTACGAAAAGTAGAACACATGTGCATAACACTCATGATTCACAAGAAAATTTGTCAATGTCCAAAATGACCCATGAAGAAAATTATGCGAGGAATTTTCAGGCTGCGTTGGCCGAGTCACCTCTCGTGGCCAATGTTTCATAGCAACTTTAATTGTAGTGAACAGTTATAGGGTATTTTACGAACAAAGTGCAATTTGGTTTTGTAGGAAACTATAACACACAAAACAACACTTGAATACAGTATGTTGAGGTACCTCTAAACAAACTCCAGGGTTTCATGGCGCCTCCTTCAGACACCTGATGTTGAACATGAAATATGTGCACCAAGGAGTGAGCAAACAGCGACTTCAGATTTGTCTCTAACACCAGCGACATGTCGACAAGAAGTGCAACGTGTAGAAGGTCGTCTAGAAGTGTGCCAAGATGAAAAAGCAAGATGTAATGATATCAGAATAAGATCACACCAACAAGGCACCATTGTGGTGAGACAATCTACGATGTAGAGACAGTAATCGGGAGTCAACCGACGTACGGCCGCGATTTACTTTGCGGCGACTAAAATGAAACATGGCAAAAAAAAAAAAAATTAGAAAACGCGTTTTTTTTTTTTTTTTTTTTACATAAATTGTTGAGCGCAGCCGGTAGCAGAGCAGTTGGGCGGCGTCGCGAAAATCTGACAGACTCGCTAGCTTTTCTCAACTTCGTACGGCGCCAGTCGGCATCACAGATGAATGGTCGGCACCCTTAGTCTACAAGGGAAGAAAAAAGTACGAGCTCAGAGCCCAGCGTCGATCGCGACTTTCGTAAAGAGAAGCTCCGGTAACACTTCGGCGACTCGTGAGCGTTAAACAACGCCTCTTCGAACGAGCCCACGAATCCAACACGTCGAACGGCTTGCGCCGGTAAGCACGCTGGGAGCAAGGGGGCTGGAGGTTGAATATCCGAAAGAGACGAGGCGCTGGTTTCTACGTCTATTTCGCACATGAGATAACAAGCCGAGTGATAGCTAGCCGAGTGTAAACACTGACTGAAGTTACATCAGAGTACACGCAGTCGAAATGACGTCTGCAACAGAGCACAGCCAGACGCTTTCAGCAGGGGACGCATGCGTTCAAATAAGCTGCGATTTCAAAACATCATGTATCCCTTCTGTCCTTCAGTGTTCACTTTGATCTGTGTATACCAAAGCAATAAAGTCGTCTATACGTACCTTTCGAAGCGATTGAAAGTGCGTTGGTTTCACTTGGAATCCACAAGCAAAGTGCGCGGCGAACTTGACGAGCCGTTATCCGTCGGTCCCGCCATCGCCGCTGTCTCGCTGTCTCGCCGGGTTGGCAAGGTATATGTACATGGGTAGCGAAGCTTCCATAGAAGCCCACATGTCGAAAAAATGGCGGCCCATGGAGCTGCTTTAGCGCCATCTATGAGTCGTGGGGACACTTCCGGCGGAACAAAAAATCAACAGGAAATGACGACACTTCCGGAAAAAAACGTGACGTCATGCGTGCGTGCGGTTTGGCGCGAAAATTAAACAAAACTAATTCCAGAGATCACAGGTAAATGAACGACATATACACTAAAAAGAATCAAACATAGCTCCATGTTTGAGCTTTGTTTGATACTTTTTAGTGTATATGTCGTTCTTTTTACCTGCAGTCTCGGGTTTTTCATGGGGTGTTTACACATTGTGTTTACTCTATACTGGAATACTGGATCGTTTGCAGCCTTATTTGCCCTTGCTTTTATATTTTGTTCGAAATGTTTTTTTTTCTGCAGCCGACTTTGTTAGCCGACCTGCTATGAGAGTAGTTTCATTTCGTCACACCATCGTGTATTTGCACAGTGGTCAAACTCCAGCCGCAGTGTTTTGCTTTTTGTTCCTTCAGGATCCCTGGGAAATATGTGAGAAACCTTAAAGCAAATTATGTAATGTCACAAAAAAGAGTGAATCAAATCGCTGGAGTGTGTTGGGCGTATGAAATACACAACAGTAACTGTAATGCAAGTCCAACGTCGCTTTAACAGTCGCGTTTTATTTGTTTTATTCACTTACAATCATTCACTTAGATTACTTACTAGAATTATACAATCGGTATCAACTATTTTCAAAAGGTCATGGTCAAAGAAAATGAGTAGATATGTACATAAGGCACACTGTTATAACATAAGACATTGTACAATCGGCTGGATGTTGTGAGGACATTGACAGTTGATAGGCAGCCACTAATAACTCGGAGGTTCCACAGTGTTCCGACGACAACTGAGGCCACAACTGTAATACACAGAAAAGTTACACTTTTCTACACATTCCTTGGGCAAGGTACCATAATGCTAAACATATCTTAACTTGCATCTGCTGGTGCTGCTACACTGCAACGCAGCGATTGTTTGGTGCAGGTCAAGGAAGCCAAGTGGAGTAAACCCTCTTGGAGCCCTGTGGTATGCTGCACTTCATAAGCCAGTTTTGCTTCACAGCTTTAAACTCTATATATGTAAATAAGTTAGAAGACTACATTACTCCTCAAGAAACCGAAGAAAATGAAAGGCTCGAATAGAACATGCCTGCACTGCTTTAAAAGTACTCTAGGTGGTCTCACATACGTAGTCTGCGCACTTGCTGCCTAGCTTTACACTTTGCTACTGTAACAAATAGTCAGCCTTTTTTTTCCTCGCGAACCAGTGCAGAATGACTCTGGCAATCAGAGAAAACAAATTATCATAAACACTTTCGTCACATACAGTCAGAGACTTTGAAATCTGGTTAAAAAGGACACAAAGAGTCCGCCCTACGTTCTCCTTTGAAATTAGGTTGTTGATACATGTCTCGAAGACTTTCTCACAAGCTTCAACAAATAATATGAAAGAAGCAGAAGGAACTGAGAGGATTCCAAAGTGGGAGTCGGCAGTTCCTTTCACACTCAAATACAAGAGCACTTGATTTCCCTCAGAAAAACACGCATTTTCTGTCCTCAACTCATATTTCTGGGATGTTCCTACACAGGAATGAACCTTGAGGAATTTCGATGCCAGCCACCCAGCAAAATAAACCATGTTGCTCTCTTCTAGTGTCAAAGGGTAGTTTGAAGGCGAATCGTCTGCCGTGGTAAGAAAAACTGTGCTTCCTAAGGCAAGACAAGGAGAAGGTGCCAAAAGGCCTGCTGGGAACGTAGCAAGGAGAGACATATCATCAGCACAGTTTGATTTTTCTGACAGCTTGAATAGGTTTCTAATCAAGAGGTGCCTGAAGGCAGCCTGAAATTGACGGAAAGTGGAGTTCGTGTTTGCACCTGATTTTGAACGTATAACAGCAAAAGTGTTTTCAAAGGTGTCCTGGTTCAGATGGCGGTTTAAAAGGTGGGAAAAACCGCAATTAACCGCGAGGTGATTGCTCAGCAGTAGTAGAGACCTAACTGTTAAGCAGAAGCCACGAATGCAGTGCGGCTGCCTTCCACATCCGAGTACTTGCAGGCTCTTAAAAACCAGAATGCACTCTTTCAGAAACTCCTCATGGATAGAGCCGTTACAGGTTGCAGAGGCATATGGCGTCTTTGCAAATTTCTGTGAGCTATTTAGGCTGTCAAAGAGACTGTCGATTCTTTCAGCGAATCTCGCTGTGTGAACAGCTGTGGCTGACAATTGCTAAGAAGTAACAAGGGCATACATTGCAGCTGAGCAGTGATTGCTAAACACTTGAGCTGCTAGCTTCACCGACATCTTTGACGAGAAGGTCAAATTAAAATGCTTCTCCTTCAGCTTTGGCATAGAACCGATCTCAAGTTTACGGTCCTTTTCATAAGCTTCCTTGATATAGGAACTTTTCACTATGTAATTACCAACTTTTTAGCCGTATTTAAATAACACGTTTCTTAGTCACTCCAAAAGGTGCGGAGCATCGAAAAGGAAAAAAAAGTGGCTTGCCATTGATCTCTACGTAAGGCTTTTCGGCAGTTACGTTGCTTGAAAAAGAGACACGTTCTGGCACCGTTCATCGCATACAACAGCTACCGGCTTCAGGCCAGCGTCCACAAGGGCGCTGTAGCACTGGAAAGAGAGATCTTTTAGTACATCTGAAGGTGTGCCTTTGTGAGCAAAAAATAGCCAAGCGGCTGCTTCCACGGTGTTCCGACTCCTTTCGCCATGAGAGCCTTATTTGCCAGTTTTTTGCCTTGCTGTCCACTATGTTCTTTAAGTCTTTCAAACCTGTCAGACGAGGGGTTGTATGAAAGCTCTTTCTTGATGTGCATTTCATCAAAGACTACGCTGCAGGCCCGATCGGCTCGAGGAAAAGAAGCTGCCCGCCTCTTTATCAGCTCGAAAATGCCAGGGTAAAATCCAATCTTTAGTGGCACACGCTGAAGCCATAGCTGCAGTGACCTTACTGATGGCAGCCTGAGCAGTCGCCTGCAATACTTATAGCCTTTGGGGCTATGAAAGTAGAGGCCTGAAGCCAAGGCTTTGTTGTGGCTGCACCATCTCTGGCCAAACCGGCTCACATTGTTCATTCTAAGCTGGGCTTCAACGAGTGCGGCGACACGAGGAGACACATGAACGCGGACACTCTCAACGACTTCGGCAACAGTCCTCATCTGACGTTGTCGTTGCAGCCTTCTTTGCAGCCTCTTGTTACGCTCTTGAAGCTGTCGCACCTTGGCTCTCAGGCGTTCACCTTCTTGTTGCCGATGCTGCGGCTTTTGCAGGGTGCTGCAATTTGGCAAATGACCCAGATTAGGCCTCCAAGAAAAACTTGCATTCGCCATCAATTTATTAAATGTGTAATCTATTCACGCTCAAGAACATTCCTCAATGATCTGAAGTGTCTTTAAACAAGAACCGCAAGTTTGACAAACTACACATGCAATTCAAGTTTAGGAAAGCAACAGTACATCTTTATGTTGGACTAGGTGCTTCATGTTGGCCAGAGACCTGATAGTCCAAAAAGACAAAGGCGCACACAGAAACATGCAAGTCAGAATAGGCATCCAAATGGTGAAATGCATTTTCTTAAAGCTTGACCGTACCTTACTTATGCCCATGGCATTGTAACAGTGAAGCGCTCGCACAACAGGCGACTAAAGTTTGGCAGATAGGTCAAGGGACCATGACAGGCTCAGCATCACACACATATGACCACGGCAGCTTTTCGATAACTTTAAAAAACACTGTCTTACGTGAGGTTTTGCGGGAAGACTTATGATTCAGTGAAACCGGTTCAGCTGTTTTGATTTGACGGTGTTAACACCTGCGTGTGGAACTTTTTTTTTTGTCTTTTTGTGTGCTTGACAATGACAATACCGTGAAACAAAAATGTGGTGAACTTTGAACAAACTTCGATTTGTAGCTGCCAGCTAGTAGGTCTGCTGTTGTGACCCCTTCCGTCATCTGCTCTCAAGATAAAGTTTAGTATCCCCTGGTGTTTTTCGAGCCTTGGCTTTTTATTTTTGCGGCCTGATCTTTTGTAACTTCACAAAAAAAAACTGCAAAAGAAAAAAGTTTGCATTATAGAAAGCACTCACATTTGTGAGAAGGCCCAGCAGCACAGCCAGAGAGAGAGTCTCTAGGCGACGGTGAAGAAACTAAAAACTCCATGTCAGCCACGTCCGCGCTGGACTCTTGAGCAGGAGCAGCATCTTGACGTAGAGCGTAGCTGTGATCAACCGCAAAAAAAGAAAGAAAGAAAGAAAAGCTTTTGTAAGAACTGCAAGTAAGAAAACAAGTTCAACAGAGTGGAAAGTTGGACGAGTTGGTCGTTCATTTAAGCTTGCAGAAACAGTGCCTCTCTGTGCACTTTTACTGCGCCTGTCTGTATACTCCTTGTTTTCTGTTTTACGTCAAGTTGCGCTGTTTCTACCACTCGAGAAAGCAAGCTCACAAAGAAAAGGGAATAAAAAAGATAGCACAAGCAATATTCGGCCACCACTTATTATTGGCCCCTAGTCGACTGTTCTCTAGTAAGGTGCACGAGTATGTGTGGTCCAATGAAGCCACAGAAATCCGCTCTGCAAATTTAATGTGAACTTAGCAAAGGAGAAGAGGAAGTCCTCCCTTATTCCCTTATTTGAATGCATAAAAAGTATATTCACCTTCTTTTATGACAGGTTTAAATCAAAAGACTGGTCGTCAGGGTGACTACAGGAACTCCACCAGTCTGAGTGGCCGGAGTATGTGCAGCTCGATGAGGCTGGCGAAATCCTCTCTGCAAATTTAGCGTGAAGTTGGCCATGGAATAGTAGTTGAATTCCTTCCTATGTGTCTATTCTAACACACGACAAAAAAAATCACCTTGTTCCCACGAAAGTTTAATTTCGGAAGACTGGTCGTCAGGGTGACTACAGAAGCTCCGCGAGTCTGAACTGCCGAAGCATGTGTAGCTCAATGAGGGTGTCACACTCACCTCTGCAAATTTATGGTAAATGCGCCTGTTTTAACACAAAATGTAAATCACTTTCTTTCATGGGCAGCTTTATTATGGAAGACTGGGTGTCGGCAAGGCAAAAGATGCTCTGTGACGTTGATTATGTCACCTCAAGTAAAACATGTCATTATAAACGGGCCTGAAATGAACTTCTAGCAGTACCTCTGTCCATGTTCAACCAGCTTTTCAAAGCTAATCTCACCTAGTTCTTTTGCAAAATGCTCAAGTCACGAAGACCATGAGGTAATGCAGTGGTGCCGGTAGTTGCTGCCACTTTATGTTAGTTTCAGTGAAAAAGCTCACCATGCAAAACTGCTGAACCTGGAGAGCTTTTGCTGGAAATGTCGCCATGTGTCGTCCCTGCAAATAATATAAAAATGTTATGAGCCCACAAAAGCAATATTTCAACCCCATGTGATAAACATTTTTCTAAGAGCGGGTTAACCATGCTTAGTCACAAAGTGCACGGAAGATTTATTGGTCTGCTTACTTTTTGTGGGAAGCACATTTGGCAACGCATTGTGACGGAGGTGTCCAGGGCGCAGGAGAGCTGACTCCTCGAAATGCAAGGAGCAAACTACCCTGCCTCGTGGCTCCCATGGAGTCTTCCCCTGTAGACTTCGGTTGTTGCAGAACCGAACCCAGGCTTCGCGCCTGCAGATAAGGCATGGTGCTATGAGGGTGCCATGAATACTACGAAATGAAAATGTAGCCAAAATGTCCACAAACCAAAGCAAATCAGTGCAAGAACCTAACAAATGCATGACATCACTGCTCTGTGTACACCATAAAGAGTAAAAACACGAGTCTTACGCACAGATGCCCTATTATATATCTGTGTTGTACCACTGATAACCACGCCGATGATCACGACACTAGGATCCTCAGAGCCAGGCCGGTACAGGTAAATTTTAATGTCGTGGGCACTTTTATAATGAGGGCACACAACGCTGCGAAGTCAGAGTGATTTCGAACTTAAAACATTCCTACATAACATATTACGCCTTCAGGTGTAGTTTCTTGTGCACATCCAGACAACCCTAATAGCTTTAGGTAAAACTAACATGAGTTAAGAGGAGAACGAACAAGGGGCATACATCACAGAGCAGGCACGTCACTGACAGTAGCGAAGTCTCACCTTTGAGAGTCGAGGGGAAACCGGTGCAGCGAGATGCCAGCCGTGCGGGTGTTGCTTTCCCAGATTTCCACGGAGCACCGTTTCTTTGCGTATCGCGCTGTGCTCATCGTCGCAAAAGACGCTGAGCCCCTTGGGCGCAGTAGCGTCCAAGATCCAGGCGCACGACAGCCGAGTTCCCGCGCAGGTAACTGGGTTAATCACGCCCGAGCAAACAACAAAACTCCCGAAACGGTGTTAGCTGCCGCTAAAACAATTAAAAGCCAAGAGCACGTGGAGGCCCAAACACAAGCAAGCAGACGGACGTCAGCAGACTGCCTTTCCGCGCGCCACGAGGTCTACGAAAAACTGCAAATATCGCTATTGCTAGTCGGCCTTTTTGCTAGTGGCGTACAGAGGACGCTAATAAGAAGTATGCATAATATTATCAAAAACAAAGACAGTTTTGAATTTTGTACCGCGTTAAATATGATTGATATTATCTAATAATTATATTTAGCTTGTTTAAAAATACCAATGATTATACTTCTAGTCACAAACTAATTAATTTTAATAATGTTTGTCCCCACCTCTCCTAGTCGCGCTTCAATCGCATCATTCACGTGACCCTCCAGGTCGATGTCGCTGGCGATTTGTTTTGAACCGCTTTTTGGCCGAAGCTTCGCTACCCATGTACATATACCTTGGGGTTGGCGCGGTCGCGGTCGCTGCGCCATGGCGTAATCTCGGCGGCTTGGCTAGGCTTGGCTGGATCGGCGGACTCGGCCACTCGCGGCTCGCTCGGCTCGCCTCCCTTCGGAATTCGAACTGCCTCCGAAGCTCGAGCGCTCGAGCTTTCGCGCGCGCGGGTTCACGATGGAAACTTTTCTCATAAAACGAGTCTGTAACGTATCGTTTGATGGCGCAAATGCACGTATTTTTCCCGTCGTTTTTTACAGTGTGTGAATCTTGCGAAACAGGCGACGAAGAGTGGTGGGTGAAATGTGCTCGTGTGTGGTTATGGATTTTGTGTACGACGTAGGATTACCCAGAAAGGTGGGTTAATATCGATAAATGTGCGGGTAAGAAGCACGTGACCTGTCAAGCCCATTAATCCTCATTATTTTATCGTGCGAACTGACATTGTCACGTATCGCGTTCGATTTGGGTTTCAACATCGGTAGCCTAACTTTTGTTGCATTAAAACTGCAATAAACATTTGTTTCAAAACGATCACTCCAATGAGCACTTCGTTATTGGGCTTTCTCATTGAAAGGTAGGTCGCGGGTGTCCCAGCTAGTTATTCTGAATGGTTTGGTGGTTGTCTAGCATTTCAAGCGCTCGAGGCTCTGTGTACTGTGTGCCGTACGTACACTTGCGCTTTCGATCAATGTGAATGTGTTTGCAACGCGGAACGTTTGTGTTCTGTGTGCATCCACCTCCAATATCGTTCTCTCTCGTATTGCCGTATGGTAACTCCTGCTGTTCTACGATATTATTCACGCGATGTCGTATATGTGGGCGTACCGATATCCACATGTTGCTTCACGGGCGATCAATACTGTGTTACGTATCCTCTTAGTCCGTGGTATATGCCGACGTAATTCATGTTGGTAACTTGGAATTCGTTCTGAGATTTATCCACGCGATATTGTATACTCCTTTGGGCCCGTGATCGACGACCGATATTTATATATCGTGTGGCCGCACAGTATGTCCATGTCGGTCACCAATATGCACGCGGGGTCGTATTCTATTCCAACAACCGTAAGTTCTGCCGGGATATTGTGCTTCAATATCGTGTTGTATACCAATAACCGCAAGTTATATCGGGATATTGTGCTCCAATATCCTGTTGTATACCAATAACCACATACTATATCGGGATATTGTGCTCCGATATGAATTCCCATCGTGCGTATTGGGTTAATCGGATAACAATAAGTTTTTATTGGTTTTCATCAACTTCATTGGAATACAATATTTCCAATAAGCCGAGTTCATATTGGCCTTTTTCAATAGGGTCGTTGCGAATTTTGAGTTCGACATTAAACTACCGAGAAAGGCTGGTTACGGGGATACGCAGAGACGAGGCTCGACTTGTTCTCAGGAACTCAGTTTTAGCGATTGAAGTGACCATTTATTCTGACTGCGAGACTCCGATGTTATAAAAGCGCGTCTTCTACAAACTCTTTAAAAAAAGTGTTAGTATTTGGAAGTCCTGCGTCTGGATAAACGCTCATTTTTTTCGCGAAGGCAAATTATGTGAATGGGACTTCTGAAATGTTGAGATCTTTTTTGACGAGATAGTTGGGTGAAGTAGAGTCAGCACATTCGTTAACTCGCATTCGCATAATGCGCGAAGCTCCACCATGTAATGTCTGAACGTTCGTGGCACATTAAACGAATTCGCCAGTTTCGTTCGAGTTTGGTCAACACTTTAAACCGCGCCGGGCTGAGTCTCGCCGATCCCCAAGACGAGCGAAATATCATTCGTCCTCCTGGTGAACATTTCGTTTGCCTTCAGGTACTAAATCATACAGATGCACCCTGTCTGAGGGGGACTGATGGCTGCTTTTGCACGCGCACGCCTATCGGATAGTCCCAGTCGAGCGCAGTTAGTCCCCAGCTTTTGCGCACGGTACCTAGCTTGAACCAGATGGTCCTTAAGGGGAGCAACTGTGAGTTCGGAGGACCAAATGCTGCTGTTGGTCCCTTGAGGCCAACTTTTTTCTTAAAGTGTACGTTGCGTGGAACGTGTTTCCGACTGGCGTGTTTACCGTGTTTAAAATACGTAGTAGTTTATCGATTTCCGTTTGATGACGTCACAAAGGTGACATCCTGAGCCCGGCCGTGATCCTGGCTGCGTCACAGCAGTGGTGGGCTTAACTTAGCAGGGGTCAAATGACCGTTTTCATCGCTCATGTGTCCCCTGCTTTAGCCTCCTGAAAGCCTGTATTACAGAGAGTCTCCGGTTGCACGATCCTTGTGAAGTGCTTTATGGGCCGCGTTTCAAATACGAGCTGCGAGGGGGTGCCGAAAGCGTTGCTCGCCTGGAAACGTCTGCGCCTTTCCGCCTGCTTTCCTCGTCGCCACCAAAAACGCAGCGCATACGGGTCGCTCTCGAGCTTGAGCGTTCACAGAGACTTCGCTAGCCAGGAGCTGGGACGCCGCGACGAAAGCGTCACTGACGTAGTCGTGCTTTTCTTCAGGACTTCTACGCTTAACCTTCATGATCTCGAGATTCGACGGTATGATGCTCTAGATTTCGGGGCGTGATATATCGCCACTTCGGGGCACTTTAAATGAATGGACGAAAATAGACGCTATGCACACCTGTTGGAGATTCGTGCTGGGGGCCGTGGCCTAACGTTGCCAAAGAATTGAGCGGAACAAAACTTAGTCGCTGGATTCAAGTAAACACTATGGTATAATTATGCGACCGCCAACACATTTCTAATTAAAATATGCCAGCTAAAGCGTATGTGATAGTGAAATAATTCCGCCAACTCATAAAATATATCGGAACGACAGGCCGTCTCGAGGAGGTGTTGTTGCTATTGTCTTAAAAGATGATATAAAAGCATTTTTGCTGCCAGGCATACCCAACCACGACAGTTTATGGTGTAAGATAGACTTTTATAGGAACAATGTAGTCCTGAGTGTTGTCTACAGACCCCCTAAAGCCAGTATAAAAATTATAGAAGATGTCAGTGACTACATACTTGGTTCGTTTTCGTAATGATCGTCTGCGGCTAACTTTAGCCGGCGATTTTAACTTGCCGCACATCGATTGGCCAAACATGAGACCCACATGCTTGCAAACTCGCGATTCCGAATAGACGGCAGGCACTAGTGGTGTTGCTCCGACCGCCGGTGACAATGTTCAGAATTTGCAACAAAAGTTTCAGTCTTTTCAACTGGTTGTAGACCTACCGTCGACGCAAGCAGTAGCGACAATCTCTGCCGTCGCTGGGGATAGCCTTGTTTCTGAACAACTTGCGGTTTTCCTAGCGGCAATATCGGACTACGCGGACAGGAAGTCAATCGCCGATTTTTCGGACATTTCTCAGGCCAAACTACTTTTTCGAGTTCACCCTCTTGCCCTGAAGTAAAGTGCGGCTACATGGTTTCGAAGGCAGCCACCATTTGTTTCGGTATGAGACTTTTCAAAGCGATTTGAAGCCGCATTTTTGCCTCCCAACTATGCCGCGCGCATGCAAAATGTGCTAATGTACCGAACTCAGCAGCGTGATGAGCCTCTCGTCGAGTATGTCGGCGCCGTACAACCCCCTTACAACAGAGATGATCCTAGCATATAGAAAAGACCAGCAGGCAAAATCCTAATGGGCTGATGGTCTGGTCTTCTGATGGAGTCGTATTTTAAGACAGTGATGGTGTGATGATTTGATGATGTGATGGCATGATAGTGTGATTATTTGGTGGCTTGTTGGTGTGATGGTCTGATGAGCTAATGGTCTGTCGTATTTCGGGAAACTGATGGATTGATGGTGTGATGGTCTGTCGTATTTTCTAACATCTGACGGACGAAGTGATCTCGGAGAGCGATTCCCCACTTCGAGCTCCGCGAGAATTCCTTGAAGTCTTTTCTAAAGACCAAATCCACCCTGAATTTTCAATGAAGAACTATCCTGCACACCACCCGCAAGACTGCCGTCTAAATTTCGGCGAAAGAAGCGAGTCTCCATGATTATTCGGACACTTTCCGCACAAACCACGCAGTCCGTCTCTAAGACTACTGCGAAGCACAGGCCCTCGCTGGCGCGGCGCGCGTTGCGCGCCGAGTTCGCCAGCATAGCTCGCCGGTAGGCACCCAGACGCCCTGCAAGTTGATCAGAAACCCTCGGAAACGACAATCAAACCTACCCGAACTCACGCTCGATCGACGACGCTCGCCGATCGGAACCCCTTGAAATCACCCCAACAAATGTTTTTTTTTTTTTGCCTTCATGGCTCACTTCGCACACAAGCACTCCCAAGCCTCGGGGAGCAGTCGCCTGCCCACCATGGCTGATTTACGTGACACCGCACCCTGGAAGAGCACCCGATCAGCCCAGAAACGGTTAAAGCCAATACGAAACCATTATAATAAAACCACAGACCGGAGTTGACCTCCATTAAGTACCCCAGACCTAACTCGGCTCAGCCGTTATCACGACCACTAAGCTCACCACAGCCGACCGCGGAGAAACCTACATCAAAGACAAAAATATACAAAACTTGATCGCCGTGGACACATACAAACAGTGTGCCCGCGACATGCTTTTACTGGTTAAATCGCTCCCTATACAAGACAGAGACCACGCCACCCGCACCTACTTGGCCATGAAAAGGGACCATGCCCACGGTGTAGTACATAGTGTTCAGGGATGGCGAACGAGTGGCTACTTGAGTACATCGGATGCAACAGAAGAAAACTCATCCACCCATACCATCGGCAACAGCAATACCGCTCTATTTACTTTCGAAGGGCTCTACCCCCTAAAATACGGCACCGTAAGCTGGGTAGTTACACGCGTGCACCCCTATAGGCCTCGAAGCCTAATATGCGGCACGTGTTTGAACATTGGACACAAATCCGAGGTCTGCCCGCCGAAGAACCACCTCAAGTGCTGCCAGAAACGCAGCAAGGGATTTCCATCCGACTTCAAAATTAACGGGAGCCACCAATGCACCCCATACTGCAAGAACTGCGGCGAGGACCATTCTCCACTCGACCTCATTTGCCCGGCCCGGGTCTACGCCGACAAACAACACAAACAAGGTATCGTATACCGCAAGAAAAGAGAACTACTTGCCTCAAGGCCGATGCCCCGACGTCCAAATGCAAGAGCACCTCCCCAATCGCGCCGCTACCTAGAAATAGCCAACCGGTATGCAGTACTGGAAGACGAATACCCGATTCTACCGCAGAAGCAGGACCATACCAACCCCCTGGCAACGACCGCAACGCAGGCCAGGCCAGGCCCAGAAGACCCACACGAGGGGGGGGGGGACAAACTTCCAAGAACCAACAGGCGCCCCAAGGCCCGGGCCAGGAGCCTGAGTCTGCCGAGGAGGAGTGACCCCTTACCAAAAATTTTAATAAATTTCATTTGAAAGTTTATGGAGTCTACTCATCGTATCTTTTCGAGTCTCAATAGATATGCAAATGAGTTTTGTAACGAATCCGTAAGGAGTTTACGGAAACTATACTCCACCGCGTTCCAATTGGAGTTTCGACGTGCTACCGCATAAAGTTTCTAATGTATTTCATATGAATATAATTTGAAAGTCTATTGACATCGTTTCGAGTCTGTGTTGAAAAACAATTGATTTTTTGTAACGAGTCCCTAAGGAGTTTGCGAAACCTATTGGCCACCGCGTTTCAATTAAAGTTTTGCCGTGCCACCTCATAACAATTTCTAATAGATTTCATTTGAAAGTCTAGATACACTGCTTTGAGTCTCTGTTGAAAATCAAATCTTTTTTCTACCGCGTTGTACTTCAGGTTATGACGTGCCATCTCATTAGGTATATTCCGACGATTCGGAATATGGCGAACTAGCCGGTTTCAGTACTGCCAAATAATCGTGGACTAAATCCACGCAGAAGAGCGTGAGTTCCTGATTGGCCCATTTGAAGCACCTCTCAACCGCGCACTTCCGGAACTGCTCGACACGCTGCATTGTCTTTTAATACGCTTTTAGCGGCTCGCAGCTTTGCTTGTTTATTCGCTTGATTATGTCCCTTTTCGCCAGGGCCCAGGCGGCGCTGCTTTAAGGGTAGAAAGTTTTGTTATTGCCGAGAACATTGTTTGAATGTTGTCTTACTAAAACGCGGTCAGATGTCCTTTTTTCCCTTTCAGATTGTTCGTACTGCGACGAGTATGGTGCCAGTTGGATTTAAAGATAACTTTTCGTGGTAGTATGATTTTTCGTATTGCCTTGTTTGTTAAACAGGGGGAGTGAAATGCCGAGGCTGGATCCGAATTCGGCCGTAAACATTGGCACCTATACGTAGCGATCAAAAATTTTCTTCAAAGGTGTATCTAACAGGTGGGCTTTCCCTTGAAAAATTACAAAGCGTGGCTTTTTTAAAGCGAAGCTGTTTTCGGCGAGGGTTCCGTGGAAATTTTGTATGCGTGACCAAGAACTCCACACTCGTACCGCTGCACGCGCCGCAGTAAATAACCAAAATAAAGCTTTGACGAACGCGCCTGCAAGATGCCATTTGTTTTAGGCTTTTGCTTTAGAACATTTTTTGCTGCAGACACCGGCACGTGCGGCACGTGGAACACCATTACCCGCATTCTCCTTGATGCTTGGGTAATTTAGCAATATGTCTATTTCACTTCTCTTCTCTCGATGTCGTAATGGGGAAGCCGCGTATCGTCGGGACTCACGAAAAGCTAAGCGCATGGGAAGGGCAACGGCGGGAACGGCACCGAGAATGTCAGCCGCGGCGGCGGCCGGCATACACCACCGACGAAGATCGTGCATAAAATGCCAAGCGCATACGTCAAACCAGACAAGACGACGAACGTCGCTTGTCGGAGAACGCATCAAAAAGACAGAGGTACCATGCTGCTAAATTGGGCAACTTTAGTAAGGTCTACGCTAAGTTCTGTGCCACGTCTGTGTCGTGTGCTAACCAGCTTCGCTGGTCATCCACCTTCAGAAAGTGGAATGGATCATGATTTGTTAGTAAAAAATAGGGTAAAAAAACTAGTTAGGGTCAACTGCGGACGGTGACATAGGCGTTCACATATTTTACTGCTGGGTCGCACGTGTTCCGTCGCCTTAAGGCCGTAATCACCGGCTTGGCTTTGTTCTCACAAGGCCGTCTTATCTTGTCGAAACAACGAACGCGGGAGGCTACGCAGTCTGCTGCTTCCGAGATAGCGGAACGTTTACATAGGCCAAGCACGGCGCCGGAATCTTGGAATATGGGCCTATTCGGCAGTGTTTTCCCAACACGCACCCTGCGTGGAACATGGGCATTCTGAGAATGCCGTTTTTGTTTTGTATTTATAATTTTACCATCTCCGAGTCAACCTCTAAAGTATACATAAAATGTTTTGGCGAAACGATGTCAGCGTGCCCAATCTTCATCAGCCACGTATGCTTCGAAATCTAAAACTTCAAGGTGGGCCAAACGCGATGTTTTTTTAGGAATGTGTTTCTTTTTTTTAGGTACCTGCTGCTAATTGTTTCTCGTTTCTAAGAGCCTTCACCTCTTCGTTGAAGCATGTATTTGAGAAGGATAGCCTACCCGAGCCAGAACCAAAAAAGGTAACTCTTGTGATGAAGATAACGTATCGGTGTGTAAGCAATTTCAGGAGATAGTGCGTGCTCGCACACACAACTCTTGTGCCCCCTTTATCTGTGTGTAAACGCGAGACAATAAGAACCAAGGCAGACGACTCCCCCCAGACATTAAGCTGATAATCCTTGTTTTTCAGAACCACGGTGGAATTGACCATCTTCTTCAAGTTCTTCTCTGCTGCTTCGTGAGGATTAGGTAATTCAAATATTTACCTTATCGTTATTACATTAGAGCGACCAATTATTCTAAAGTACCATCTATATTGTAGCGTTGGACGCTTTCTGGTTACCTTACGAGGGATTACGTGGAGACTGATCTTAGTTGAGATAAACGCTGGGCTCCACGATACGGTCGCGCACAAGTCACCTAGCTGTGTTTGGAGATTTGTGTTGGTCCTTTGTCCCTCTTGTTCCCCTTCTCCAGAGACATAGCCAGAGATTATTTTCGTCTGCAATAAGCGACTGCTTATGCCTGCACTCTAAAAAAAAACACCTATTTCTACTTACTCTACTCTTGTTGTGCGTCTACTTAGTAGTGTTGTGCGTCTACTTTCCCGCACAACACTCGGATAGCCAATCATCGCAACTTACGGAGGCATACTCAGCGAATGACGATGCCGAAACATACCTGTAGACCAAAAAACGCAGTCTGAGTTGTGACATTACGCAATGCAAGCGTGACGTTTTGCATTGCTTAATGTCACAACTCAGACTGCGTTTCTTGGTCTAAACATATGTTTCGGCATCGTCATTCGTTGAGTTGCCTCCACAAGTTGCGGTGATTGGCTCTTCCAGTGTTGTGCGGAAAAATAGACGCACAAGCTTCTTTTAGAGTGTGGCGGAGTTCGTCCTGCGCACGGCATGAAAACACTGGCTACCGCGCAGTGTGCATTGCATGCGAGAGTGCCACCAGAAGAAGTTTGTCGGTTGTTTACCTGATGTTCGTTCAATGGGCACGTCGCAACAACTTCAAGGAGTGGATTGGCACTTGGCGTACGATGTAGAGATCTCATAGTCACTCGCTGAATCTTAAGCCCCGCACGTCATTCGCCGCTCCAGAGGCGCGGTAGCACTGCTCATGCATCATACAAAACACAATCTGTAGCTACCCAGGCAGCACACGATATTGGGCCAACATTGGAATTGATGGGACAAAGAACGGCCCAACAATGGCCCAACTGAGCCATGTGTTTACCAATATTGGAATTACCTGGGCCAATAATGGACTATCATAGCCAATGTTTTTCGAATATTTGTGATGCACTGGAATAAGCTGTCCAATATTGGACTGTGAAAGCCAATGGCTTGCCAATATTGGATAAATGCTGGCATAACCTGTCCAATATTGGACTCAAAGCCAATGGTTTTCCAATATTGGATATATGCTGGCATAAGTTATCCAATATTGGACTGCCAAAGCCAATGGCTTTCCAATATTGGATATATACTGGCATAACCTGTTCAATATTGGACTGTCAAAGTCAATTGTTTTCCAATATTGGATATATGCCGGCATAAGTTATCCAATATTGGACTGTCAAAGCCGATAGGTTTCCGATATTGGATATATGCTGGCATAAACTGTACAATATTGGACTGTCAGAGCCAATGGCTTTCCAATATTGGATACATGCCAGCATTAGCTGTCCAATATTGGACTGTCAAAGCGAACAGCTTTCCTATATTGGATATACGCCGGCATAACCTGTACAATATTGAACTTTAAGAGCCAATGTGTTTTCCGATATTGAATATACGTTGGCTTAAGCTGGTTAATATTAAACTGTCAAAGCCAAGAGTTTTCTAATATTGGTGATGTCTTGGTATAGGCTGGTCTATATTGGTACTGCCATAACCAATGGCTTATCGATATTTACGTCGCCTAGGCTATAGACCCGCGAACCTCTTTCTTGCATTGCAGAAATAGGAAATTGGAAAAGAGTCATTCATGAGCTCGCTCGGGCGAGAATTTTATTTAGCCAACTTCATGGGGCGTACGTCGCCGGCGCTTTATAACCGCAATCACAAATACGTCCTTAGCTGCCTATATGACTATTGCAGTTTTTTTGCTGGCTGCTCTCCATTCGCATTGCCTTACCTCGGCGTTGACAACTTAACTCCGTTTTTTTAGATTTAAGTATTTTTGTCTTTTCCAATATATTTTTTATATATACGTAGCGTTAACGTTTTCTCTTTGTCCGTGCCCCTGTCATGTTTGTATTTCTTTCTGCGTGCTCTATTTTTTTATATTTAATGATTCTGTGCATATTTAGTCATTGTCGACGCAGGTGTCAACAAACATAAAGCCGCCGCTTACGCTGCAACCGAAGTGACTCTCAGTTTTACGAGAGTATATCGCGATATAAAGTCATATATTAAACTCGAGTGAAGTCTCGAGAGGGTTGCTTCGACTGCCAGTGCACATGTCATCAGGGTAGGCAGAGCAACGACGTAGCTATCGCGACGCGAGAGCACACTGCGCCTCGATGTGGCCGGCCGCGCTCGCTCTGCGGAAATGTGAGCGTGGGACTCTCGAGCCCCGTTAGCTTACTGAAGCTGCTAGACCCTACTTTGTTGTCGCGAATCATTTGCCCTTCGAACGGTCGCGAAGCCGTTGCGCTCGGAGTACCCTACCCAGCATCTTTCAGAAACCGTTCGCGCAGCATCGCAACCCTCTGTCGGCGAGCGTGGGCGATTCATCGTGTGCTGCAATTCGGACGATGTGCTGCTCGGGCTGTCTTTTATGTGTAACTCTTTCGTAAAACAATTTGAAGTTTAAAAACGCGAACCTAACAGCGTACAAACAGTTTTAAATTTATTGATAAAAAATATATTTATATACTTATAGATATATTTGTGTACATCGAGCGCAAAAAATAGTCGCGCTTAGTTCTTCATTACATTATATTATATATTTATATATTATTATATTTACGTTATACGACGTAAAACATACTGTCTTCAAACTTGCCCCGTTTAGAACCACTTTTGGGCTGGAGAGCGTCTTTAGAAGTTCAAAAGCTGACCTTCAAAGAGCTGTCCTGTTAAATCGGTATTGACAGCAGGGTAGACGCTATGCGTGTTTAAGGCCAATCGTGTCTCCGGTTATGGTCACTTGACTACGGTCTCGAAGCTGGTGATAAGGCAGAGCACGGAACCTGCCTAAAGCCCAAGGTCACGCATAACATCTACTGCACTATCAACCTTGGGTAGAAGTGACAAATTCTCTCGCTGCGTTCATTGTTGAGATGCCCCTGGAGATTAGCCTTTTGTAAGCGCACCCCACCCCCGTTCTGGCCTGCTTGCTTTGTCCTCCTTCTCTTTTTTTCTCTCTCCCTAAGCTGAAGGCGCGGTAGACGGTCCGTACTCGCCGGACCAATGAACCGTACACGTTTTATCGCTTGAGTTCGCTCTCTGTGCGCGGGTAACGGCAGAAGCGTGATCACGTGGTTTGACGGATGACGCATTAGCCGTTGAAAAACTCGGAATGCCTGCGTCGCGAAGACCGGACCTAGTTTCGCGTGTGACGCGGCCTGCGGGGTGCGGGCCCGCTGTGGATTTCGCTTCTGTGGTAAATGGTATCTCGTTCGAAAAGTCCCACCCGTGTCGATTTCTTCATAGAAGCCCAAGACATTCTTGTGAATCGTTTAGTGTTCGGTTCGGCAAATGGCAGCGTGTGCTACATCGTGTTGAATCTTCACGGATCACTTCCTTCTGGTTTTTGTGTTTGAGGGGTTTTTGTGCAGTGCCCGTGTTTACATATATGTCGGATTACATCTTTCAAGTCCGGTATTTTCAAAGTAAGTGCGCTGCAACCTACTTGGTGATCATTGTCCGCTCTTGTATGGGTAATCTTCCGGATAACCTCTAGACTTGGGCAGGGCCTATCTCCTGGCAGCCGTTAGAATAAGTTTCCCGCAATCTTACCGACAGTCGCCTGCCATTATCTGTCTGAAATAATGTCACAACTGCAGGTAGAATGCTGACTTTTTTATTCTCCGTGCGTTTCGCGAAAACACGTTTCGTGGCCACCTTTTCGTCGACATTTTTGTTTCATCGACACGCGTTACGCGAATTGCGCGCTGTGGGGGCATTTCGTCGTGCGTGTATTCCTGAGGCGCAACGTTTCCTTGGCATGCATTACGCGAATTGCACGCTGTAGGGGCATTTCAACGCAAGTGTATTCCTGAGGCGCGTGCTCACCGAACCAGCCCACCCTTTCACGCCGCTTCATGCCAAGTCTGAAGCTGTTCATTGCAAAAAAACAAAAAAGAAAAGAGGGAAAAAGATGTATTTTGAGTTTTTTTTATGAAACATCGCGTGTTGATGAAACGATCTGTCTATGAAATGTCGTTCGATGAACTGATTGCACCGCCAATGAAGGGCGAATAGCGGTAGAATTTGGGGGAAAAAATTCTTCCAGCTGCCGGGAGACTGGACACTCCACAATAATTACCCCGGTTTGTGTTTACTTTGCAATCTTCTTAGTTGTATCACAGTTGAATAGTACCTCTTCACATATTACAAATTGCTGATTTTGTGCCTGTCTACAGAATAAGCTGTGTGTAATAAACTTTTTGAAGATTTTAAAACAATCCCTTGTGTCTGTCTACCTTCCTTTTTGCAAACAACTTGGTGAATGCACTTGCAAAGAGCTGGGCGAGTGCAACGATGGCCAAAAATCAGCATAACGGCCAACATTGGATCGGGTCGCCCTTCCAGTGTTGTCCATTATTACGCCGGTTTTCGCCAATGTGGGAGCACCTTGGCTGGAACCATGGTTTAGCAATGGCCCAACATTGGCACCAATGATTGGGCCGACATTGGCTGGAACGATGGCTGAACAGTGGCCCAACATTGGCACCAATCAGTGGGCCAACGTTGGAAAGGGTAGCGCTTCCAATATTGTCCAATATTGCGGCCGGTCTTTGCCAATGTTAGGCCAACGTCGGACCGACATTGGTGTGCTGCCTGGGTACTGTCTGAGGCTTCTTTCTTTCTCATTTGACGGCCCCTTTTCTTTGATGCGTATTCCGGGAGCATTCGTTACGTGGCACCCTTTACGACGCCAGCGTCACAAACAACGGGTGCTGTGGCAGGCCGGCGGGCAGGGAGTAGGGATGCCGCGAACCACCCTAGGTTCAAATTCGAAAGGTTTCGATATTTTCGAACCAAACTGATGTTCGAATTCGAAAG